AAAATTTTAGGTGATCACTTGGTATATTTCATAGTGTTATGTCATTATACTTTAACAAAATCCAAAAGCGAAGATGAATTGAGAGAAGTTGTTAAGCTTCAACTCAAGGCTAATGTGAATCATGAGATATAAGTTAGGGATTAAATTTTTAACTTTAGAAAGTTCAGAATTAAACTTTGATTTACCCCTTTTCTTTTCAAAGCTAATAATGGGTTAAGGAAATTGATCGGCCCGGGGCCGGGTTGATGTATCGGACTGGACCATTCGTAATCAGAAGACTTAGCCAGCATCCGATGGACCTCAGTCACATAGTTCACTGCTCGGTTAGAAACGACCAAAGACCCCACACTGCGAAAGAACTGAACAATACGAGCATCATATACAAGAAGGAAGCGATTGCAGTTTGTCCCTTACGGGGACATCCGATAAAATTGGAACGATACAGAGAAGATTGCATGGCCCTGCGCAAGGATGACACGCACAAATCGAGAAATGGTCCAAATTTTTTTTATTCTTTTTGCAAATTTTCAGCTCTGTTTCCATCTCTTTTTCGTTTTGAATTTAGAGGTTTTTGGTTTCTTTGTTTTTCTGGGTTTGGTCCGATGTTCATCTACGTGGGTTGTTCTTCAGATTGTAGTTCAGAGTTTTTTCTGGGTTTGATCTGTTAAACTCTCTAACAGTCAATACCTCAATAGCCATCTGTTTGCTTTATTATTGTTTTTCTGCAAAATTTTGTGGGTCTGATTTCATCTTCACTGGTTTTGTGCACTGAAGATTTACTTAAGAGTTTTTGTTTCTGGGTTTGATCTGCTTTACTCTCTGAAACAGTAAATACCTCAAAATCATTTGATTGGATTTTCCTGGAATTAACCTTGCCTTTGTATTTTGTTAACTTTAGGAAAACAAAGGATCCTTCAATTTCTAGAGTTAAAACCGGTGGGGAAAACATATATTTCTATGATTAAATTATAAGCTGTTGATTGGTTTATGCTTGCTGTAAAGCATGGAATTTCATGCTCAAATACTCTGAACTTTGTGTAGGAATTTGATTTACCTTGATCACATTTCACATTGTAGTTGAATCATAGAATTCTTTCTAAAGCTTTGCAATTTAAACAATGTGATCATCACAAGAATTTCTATACTAGTATTTATATATTACTACTCACCATTGCTAATTGTCTGGCATATTTGCTAGATTTGATGAACTGGGGTATGAATTTCTACACTTAGCCATGTTTCCCTTTGGAAAATTGCAAGTTTTCAACAGGGTTTTAAATTTTCAATGTTTTTGCAGTCAATGATATCCCTTTTCTTTTTCCTTGAAAGTGATTCATTTTATGATCAGGTTTCGTGTTCTCAGTATGGGAATTTGTCGAGAATGACAGTGGTGGATTGGAGCTTGATGCAACATACCCATGAGAGAGCCGACGGACGAGAACACAGTGTGGCCGAAGGTACTTAAATTATATGCATACATACAGTGATACAGAGACTAATACTACACATTTGTGGAATCATTTGTTATAGTAAATGGCATATTTTAGAACTAGAGTTGCATCTAGGGCGTGATTGATTTAGGCCTTTTTTACACTAATCATATGAATTCCTTAGTACTAGATTCAGGTTGCATCTATAAAGGAAAGTCGTTTTTTGGTACAAAAGAAGTCCTACCTTAAGGATAGGGGAGGGAATGTAAGTGTTCGGATTCGATTTCTGTTGGCTGCATTACGGGTACAATCTTCTGGTGATTATACTGAGTAACTCAAAGAGTGTAAATCTCAGATTGATAATGTTCCGGAACGAAGAATGCTGTTGAATGAGATGAAAGTGGTTGGCATGCTCGTTTCAAGTTTCATTTTAGAAATATGAACTATCTTTTATCGATGTTCGGATGGTTCATTTAGATATACCAAGTGTACTTAACAATTTCAAACTTGTTGAAACATGGAACTCAGAGATTTGCTGCTTTAAAGAAAGAAGAGGAAACATCAGAGGCATTGTAAAATACGGAAAGCCGTTATCCGATTGTGGATCGAACCATCAGAGACCTTTCCCCGTTCTCAAAGAGTATCAACTATCAAAGCCAGAATCTCTGTTGCTCTACTATGTGCTGAACAGGTATGTCAGAACTCAGAACAACATGAAAAAGCTTCGATTTCTGGCTTCGAGTACAAATTGAAGAAATGAATAATTCTCCAACTGTTGCTGAAATGCAGGGCCTTGGAATCAAGCAGGAAACTTGGATCATATCAAAGGATCATTCCTAGAGATTTATCGGTTGACCAAATGCTTACCTTGCAGCATTTGATGTCCCATAAAATTATGGCTCCAGCCCTAGGAACTACTGCCTCATAGAATGAGGAGTGTTGGACCCCATTTGGGGATATGTGGGGGGAAGAGACTGTATATAGGGTTGACCTTCACATCAGATTAATTCTCTTAGGAATTTGAGGACAACGTTCAGTGAAAGCTTAGATTCTGGGGTAAGTACACAATTGATTTTACAATTATAGGGGTTGACCGTTGATTCATTGACTATAAAAAATTATAAAATGATCATGATTATAAGATATTGTTTTTTTGAATCCTCTGACTATTAAAAATTAAAAAAATGGTCACTTGATTATTCACAGTTTCAAATTCTTCCATTTCCATTAAAAAGTTGACGGTCGTCTGTGTTGGACGTTAGTCTATTGATTGAGATATGATAAAATTATATATTTAATGATATCTACTAGCATCGCCGTTGTTTCAAGCACTAGTTCGACCACATAATATTTAAGTACTAGTTCAATGACATAATGTAACAGAGTCGATACACAAAATACAACTCAAAAGACTTTGAGATCAAATTTTATCATATCTCAGTCAACAGATTAACATCCAACTCAGACGACCACAAATTTTTAACAGAATAAAACAAATTTGAAACATATAAATAGTCGAGTGACTATTTTTATGCTAAATAAACAGCAGAATAAAATTTTCGTGCTCGTTTAAACAAGAACACCAATAATACATATTCAATTCATTTATGCTTGTTTTAAATCATTTAACCAATGATTTAAAGTTTCCTACACGAGTGATACAATACTCGCTATAATGATCTATTGCCTTTGCAACTCTTAAGCAAATAAACAGGAGTTTTTTTTACCAAGTCTTAATCACTAAGCAAATGTTGTTGCCGTAACATACTTCCTTTCTACAAAAGTAAAAATAATTGGATGACGAACATATCAAATTTGATGATAATCTATCATCTAAAGCAAGAAATGTGAATCTATACATAAATTTCAGTTTAATTTTTTTAGTGTTTTAATTATAATGATATCAAATGTGAACCACTCATCAGACAAAAGTCGGTAAACTCGTATCGTCATTCTGAAGGAAACATCTACTATTATTATCGATTCATACGTACTAAGAAAATTATAAAATGAAATATATATATATATATATAAATTAATGTAGAAAAATTAATTCTCTCGCATATAGCATGTGAATGCATGTTACTTTCTAGGTTTCTTGGGTCTATCCGTCCAGGCATTATGGCGTGGCGATGACTAGGTTTCTTCATAAAGAAGAACTTTTTAGGTTCGACAAGGCGTCTGCATACAGTAACGCACAATAAAATTAAGTAAAACCATGGGTGATCGCGCGATTCGCTTCATCTTTCTGTACAAAACCATGCGAAAGTTGTGTAACTCGACAAAGAACCCTATCATATTCCCCCCTTAAATGATGGCTCTCTGCTTCATTGTTTTACGGCTACTCACTTGGAACGAGAGGAAACAACGTCGAATATAACAATGTCCAAGGCCCGTTCCAGTAAGCACGAGGTATAGTAAAGATAACTGCATTCATTCCTTGTAATTGAAGATGCTACCTATTTACTGAAAGAATAAATTTATTGAGTTGTTTTGTTGCTAATTTTTTGAAGAAAAAGGCAAGGAGACGCGTGAAGGCGAAATGTAGAAAAGAGTTAAAGGTTGAGATGGAGGATATAAGAAAGGAGCAAAAGAGCATCAAAGAAGCACAATCACAACTACGGGAGAAACTCACGGCAACCAGAACGGAGTGTGAAGTATTACGAGAAGAAACTAAGTTGATGATCCAGCGAAGTGCGTCTACCCAACTTCGTCTATCTCTCATGTTCATATAATCAAGGCACGAGAGGACGCCGATTTCGATAAGGCTGCTCACTTCACATATTGCTACGGTTTTTACATATCGGCTTTTGCATAGGATTCCAATTCAACATTTAAGAACAATGGTTGACATGTTTTTTGTTCCTTCTGGTTTTATTTGCAGTGAAACAATAGCGACGGATGACGTGTAGCAGCAAAAAGACTATCTTCGGTCCAAGTGTGGTGTTTTTACTTTGTTACTCCACCTTTGTTTTAAGAATAAAAAAACTGTTGCATCAATATTCGATCCATTACAGATCTTAAAGCTGCAGGCTTGCACCCTCTTGTTCTCTCTCTCTCTCTCTCTCTCGCTCTCGCTCGTGTGTTTGTTGAAATTCTAAGCATGAATATGTATTGTGCGTTGAAATTTATCATTTTAAATCGCTAAAGCATTTGAATAAATTGGCACGGATGGTTTTAGTTGGTTAAAATTTTAGATTTGAATTCTTAGAATATGATAATAATAGATATTTCACGAGTAATATTTACTATATTTGTGTTATTATTTAGTTTAACAAAATTAGTGTAATACTCTTAAAATCGGTCTAGTAATTTTTCGATTCTTGATGATCAATATTTTTTTAATCAAGTTTTCGAATAAATATGTTTAAATTTGGAACGTGAGAAAAGTTTTGAAAACCTTTTTATGTGCATGATTTGTTAGAGGACCTAAGTCTTAATTTGAGTTCAATAACCCAAAATCCTTTCAGCACCAGATTATCTATATATATCAAATTAAGGCAACATACCGAAGAAAAAGAAGTAGAAAGTCAAGAAACAGTAGGAGGTTCTGATTATAAAAAGGAAATACATGATTCCTAATAAAATCTAGGTGAAGAACAAAATATACAACATCCTATCAACCAACAACACATTTTCTAATTTTATAGGTGTTTGGACCGTCTTCTAATTGAGGGTTTTACGTATGATCATGTTCAAGGTCCTAAAATCGGTCTTTTTAGTACGACTGTTTTACCCTTAGCCTCCTAAAACAGAACAAGAAAATATAGAGTATTGAACGAATGTTGAAGTGGTCATGGGAAGTTTGAGTAGTACGTATTTTTCGTAAAGATAATCGGAACACAATGTAGTTGATGCTTTGGGTTTTCTCCTTTTTGATAAAAAAATAAATATAAGGTATGCTATTAAACCTGCTTTGGTGATATTTACAAACAGGCTTAACTTTTACGTAAATAAAATGATATATATATAAAGGAAGTGTGTGAGAGAGAAAAGCATAGTTACATTAATTAATTAACTTAAACACAGCTACTGATATTATAATTTTCTTAATTAGTATATGTATATTTACAATATGTTAATGGTCATGATCATCACCATCGTTTTAATCTAACTCAGTCTGGGTCAGGTAGAACTGTGGTATACGAAATAGTACTGAAAATTAGAAAATAAAAGGCAGCCATGAAAAGCAAGCAAAAATAAAGAAACATTAAATTAACCCTAAACCCAAGCTAGCTAGTAAGACCATAAAGATTCCGCCATGTTAGCCTGATCAACCGTGTCCATGCAATGAAACGACTTGGACTGAGATGCCATGAAAACACGGCTAAACTCTCGAGATAACGTTCTCGAATAAATTATTTCACGAGATAATGCTCTCCCAAGATTAATTGCTCAAATAGGATGAAATCTACAGTGTTGGCCGTAGGTCGCCATGCCTTCCGGGCGACCTACTACGTGGCCAACCATGCACGTCCCCAAGCATAGGTCGTCATGCCCTCCTGGCGACCTTGTAGGTCGCCATGCACTCCCTCCTGCTCCTCGCGTGATTCCTCTTGCCCTCGGATGCCCTCGCATAGCTCGCTCGGATAGCCTCGGTCGGATGCTCTCGGTCGGATGGCCTCGGATGCCTAGTGTGTTGGAACGTGCATGGCACATGCAATCTCTCTCATAGCTCGCCGGGAAGACATGACGACCTAGTAGGTCGCCCGGATAGCATGGCGACCTACGGCCAACACTGTAGTTTCACCTTATTTGAGCAATTAATCTTGGGAGAGCATTATCTGGTGAAATAATTTGTTCGAGAACGTTATCTCGAGAGTTTAGCCATGAAAACACACATACAACTCATTATAATTAAATATCTTTTTGGTTAAATTCTTTTATTAATCTGGGATAAGTATAAGGTAGCACATGTTCAATGATAACTCTCAATCATTTGATATTGAATGCTCACATGCCCCCTGACATTTATGGTGCTCGAATTCAGAACCTCAAGGAATAACAATAATTCTTTTACTATTAGAGTCACTTGGTTTATACTATTCAAATTGAATTGAGTATAAATTAAATGTCACGCACCGAAATAAATCACTAATGTGATAAATTGAAATACACCCTTTTTAGCTAATTCATGATTAACATAAGACTTTAGTTTTGCTTTAAAACTAAATTAAAAGCCATTAAAGCTTCTCTCAACAGCGATCATAGTAGAGACAAATTTTTTAATTTTTTTAAAAATTTTATGTGACTATAAAGTAATATTTATTTAAAATCTTTCATAATTATTAATAATTCATATATTTAAAGACACAATTATTTAAACTCAAGCATAATATTTTAATGTTATGTAGTTTTCCTAATTGAAGCGAATAGAAGGTTGAAACATAACTAAAAGAGAAACAGATTTTTTTAATTAATATTAGGTTGATTAAAAAAATCAAAGAAGGTGTGGTGCTGAAGCATTAGTGAAGGAGATGGCAACAAATGAGCCAATGAAATGGTGTTAATCCTGATAATGTTGTGTCGTGGCAAGCATTCATATCCAGATATGAACCACACATGCATGTCCACGTGTCAAAACATATCCACCATCTCCAGATTTTCTATCTCATCATCAAATAGAAAAGCCGACGAAGCCGTTGCCTTTACAGAGAAGAAGAAGAAGGAATTGTGAGTAATAATGGCAGCCTCAGTTATGGCATCTTCGGTTAGCCTCAAGCCTTCTTTCAGAGTCGAGAGATCGGGTGTGAGGGGTCTCCCGTCCCTTGCTAGGGCACCTTCTTCCTTCAAGGTTGAAGCCAGTGGCGGCAAGATCAAGACCGACAAGCCTTATGGTAATCATCTCTCTCTCTCTCTCTCTCTTCCTATTTTATTCTAATTTCATCTTCAGAATTTAACATTTTATAATAAGGGAATATTATATTA